TTTGTAACCAATTACAGCCTAGGTATCTGTAGTTTTCTTCTGATTTTGGTGAATAACTGACGCAATCTTAAAAAGAAAAACATTCGTATACCGTCAATATCACATCCGGACATTTAAATTACCCTAAGTTACTGACCAAATTTATTTAACATGCATTGCAATATGACGAACCAACTTCGACAGGTTTTTATCGGAAATAACTCTAGGGCCATAATTTGTATTGTTTAGAATATCCCTGAGTTCATCTTTAACGTTCAAACACACGATATTACTGTCGTTATCAATGGAAATGTCAAATACGTTCCTAAGAGCTTTCACTAGAAGAATATTAAAACTTGGTCGCTCTTGCAAATATATTTTGTTGTTAAGCATGAATACGCTGGGCAGACAGTGTATGCCAATTTAAACAATGATACTGAAAGAATTTTCCTTACCTGACTAATTGAGGCCTCGTTTTTGTTTCTCTTAAGCTCAACTTTTAAAACCTCAGGCTCCGTGCCCTTCTGCAGTGAATCATCTCACACAAACACTTTTCCTGCCGAACAAATGCGCATGACATGTTCGAAGTTGCCCGCTTGTTGACTGTAACCGTGATCAACACATTGCCAAGCAACCAACTTCTTGACGCTCCATTGCGCAGGAGTCGTTCAACAACTGCAGTTCTATAAAAACAACAAAATAGTCATCTTCCCTGAAACACAGTGCAGAAAAATACGAAACCAACATACAGACCTTTTGGTTGGGTCAAATAAGAAGAAAATGTATATTTGACCATCATATCACCCACGATTTCCATCATCTCTGAACTAAGTGTGTTGCTTGAGTCTTCCTTTGATTTCTCAAGGGAGTTTGGGAGTGAATGGAATTTGGTGGGGGGATTAGTGACTAAGGGTATGGGTTTGCAGCATCTGAAGATATATCTGCGTTGTTAAGACTCTAAAGGAATACAAGGACAAATGATTGAAAACGAGCTTGCATATAAGCAAAATTATGTAACATGAAATGGACAAGTTTATGTAACAACACTGCCTAAGCTGTATAAAGTTTAAACACCACTTCTTAATATCTATTGAAAATTTAGCAAGCAATCTCCGTGGCCATAGAATGACATGTGGACTTACTTTTGTAATCAATGGCACGAATTGTTTTCTTAACAACAGTGGACAGTTGACAAACCAGGATGAAATGACATTATCAGCAAGAGTTACCGTGTATTGAGAGTATCTAAGGTGAAACATATCAGTTCGTTTATATTTTTCAATTTCACAAAGCCAATAATAAAAAGTTTGAGATGTTATCGCGTTAAACAAACCTCGATGATGCTGTGTGAGGCAAACATATTCCAATGACTTGTTTCAAATGGATCGCTGTGAAGTTTTGTACTAATCACGAAGCTTTGACAATGCTATTTAAACGTTTAAAAGAATGTTAGCAACTTTTCGTCGAATACGATTGAGTGTTTATACAACCTAGCTCTCCTTAGGGGGTACATTGATATTTCATAAAAGATTTCTTAATTTACGTAACTTCAAGAAACATACCAGAGAGAAATTCTAACAGTGGTATGACAACTTGAGGCGTTGGCGAAAGTTTAGTAAACTTTCCAGATATGTTGGGCAGCCTAAGGACAGAAAATTTAGAAATTATTACCCAAATAATCTTGTGAAGGAGTATCTCGCATAACAAGAGACGTTACATTTAGGCTGGAGTTTGAAAAACATTTCTGTAAATTCACTGAGCACATTATCAAGGCACGATTTCAAATATCTCCAAAGTAATAAACTTCTAAAACGCTGCAATTACTTAAATCAACTTCATTCTTTACAAAGTGCTAATGGACATAAAAAACGTCTCAAATTCCAGACAATCTTAAGTAGCCATACCTTGCCATAACTGAAGACATTTCTAACATACATATGGTGAGACAAGATACGCTTAACGTCGTGGAATGAGCAACCAAACCAATCTCCAAAGTACGCATCAGACAAAACTAGACGAAATATACAACAACGTTTAAGCGAGAACAGACAACCGCTGAAAATAAAGTGAAGCAGGTTCTTACCTGTTCATCTTGCCCAATAAAAATGTGGTACGTACACAGCTCTGTTAATACCTGCACATGTTACAATAAAAATCCAATTAAATCATTAGTATAGTATGATATAATGGTATAAATTGGTTATGCTATGGTATGGTGTGATATAATTATGGTATGATATGGTTATCGTATGGATGATTTGGTCATGGTATGGTATGGATATAATTTGGGATTATATGGTTATCGTATGATATATGGTTATCGTATGGTATGATGGTTAGTTATGGTATGATATGAATAGATATGATATATGATATGATATATGAATGATGGTATGGTTATGGTATGGTATGGTTTGGTATAGTTATGGTAAGATATTATGATAGATGCAAAAAACTGAATGATAAGAACCGTACTGGAAAAATTCTAGCGTACAAATGAGGTCGGCGCATATCATGAGGAACACGAAATAATCCAGGAAGAAAATCATAATTTCAAACCTGAATGCAAAGTAAAATTTTAGTTCATGATTTGGTGAAAAGTGCACAACTTTACATCCCTTACCATTTTAGATAACACTGTACATATTGAACGTAAGTAGTGCTTCGAGAATGTATCAAGTTTTATCTTGCAGTGCCTCCGGAAAGTTTCTCAGAACAACATCCAACACCTCCCATTCCAATTTCTAGAAAATGAAGAAAGTTGAACTTCAATCGAAACTTAATGCCAGATGAATATTATGATAGAAAAGTTTACCTGTTGTAAGCACACAGGAATAACATTCATCGCCTCGCTGTAAGGCAGTGAAACAATCCCGGTTGTCTTATCTTCTGCAGAACTAAAACAAAAATGAGAATGTATTACACTAACAAGAAAAGGAATTTGGAAGCAGAATAGCTGACATGCCTTGCACTATCATCATTAACCAACGTTTTCCTTTCAGAACAATTAACATACGAAGTGAATTTGACTTTTCCACTTTTGTCTTGCACAAGGCCTTGACGTTGTCAGCTCGCAGACTGAGAAAACATTGAAGAATCTTTACAAAAAAACAATGTAAGACATCATAGAAAAATCGCAAGAAATAACATTGAATTTGGCTTACCACAAGTCGTATCTCCGATGCAATAGACGTCCGATAGCCATTGTCATAATGAGTTTTATTGGTACACTAATAATTGAATATTCGTTCTGCAATTACATAATAGGAAAGGAGAATAAAAAAAAAATATTATATAACATCAGTGTAAAATGAATGATGGAACTGTACAGCAAAATATGGTGTAGGCATAACACGTGGCCCTGCGAAGTAGTTGGCACTAAGAACCATGCTGTCATGCCTGCCATCACCAGATATCATCAGATAATCTTGGTTTTTAATGTTGAAAATAATCCGTTTTGATACTTTTCCTATGAAGATATATCACAGGGAAAATTTTTTCCTACAATTATTATATACAAGTACTATAATATCTAATTCCCGTCTGGTCCCTATTAGGCTATTACTCCTGACAATATTGTCGCACAGAAGAAAAACATTAAATATCTCAGCAAGTATTTGGGCTAAAGACCCCGGAATACCAGTAAACGATAGCGGTTAAAACGATTCTTTGAATAGTAATTCCAACCAGCATATAGTTATAACCTGCATTTGTATTATACGTGAAAAAAGAATTAAAATAATAGCTTGCTTTGTTATCTGAAATTACTCACCCATTGCAAGATATATTTTGGAAATTCCATATTTTTCGCTTTTTGGTCTCTGTTGTCTTCAAAATGTCTAGAATTTGACATGTTATCATTCTGTTTTAATTCTGAGTAATTCTTGGTGTAGTATGTGCAAAATAATCAAAGAAAGAGCATTTATAAGTTCTAAGCGATAATCATTGCTAATCACGTGCTTAAGGCAAGCTCGAATCGGACCTAGGTCAGATTTTCGGCTTTGGCCCGAAATTTTATTATGTGAAATATTATTGCCGGTGATGCGATAATTCATATCATCAGGTATGTTTATATAAAAAATGGGCAAAAATCTTCTAAAGGCTTGATTTTGACGCTAAAGATATCAAAATAATCCTGAATATGTGAGCTAAACCACTGCAACCGGTTTCGTTTGCATTTGGGCAATATCCAAAGAATTAGGCCGCTTGATGTGTAATATTGAATATATACAACACGTGAATATCGTAGCTGTGAATAGCTATGTATGCATGGCGGTAAAACGCCGTATTTCCACTGGAATTGCAATATTTAGCCTTGAAATTTACTACATTTGCGAATTTGTCAGTTTGCTATATTTACTATTATTCCATGCCATGCCCAATTCTACAATATTCTGAAAGGTTCAGTAGTTAAATGTACCACAGAATTCAAGTGCTACAACAGTTTGAAAGATTTACTTGCCTTTTAAATTCCGACTTTCCTGTTCGATGGGGTTCTAAAGCTGGTAGGGGAATAAAGCCTTTTAATAATGATTGAACTGTAATTTCTTGTGAACTTCATGAGAGAAATAATCGAACAAATACACTCATACTGATACATTGGCTTGGAATATGCTCCAAAACGTGTGAAATCGAACATTGTTGTGCAATCACCTTGCAAATATCAAAGAAACGGTATCAAATTTGAATATAGATTAACCAATCTGATTGGTTTTTATTGAACCAATCGTGGAGTACAAAAATTGACCAATGACAAATTGACCTTTGTACAAAAATAACCAATCAAGTTGTCTTAATTTGCTGAATTATGCAAGAGCCTACAGGCTATAAAACAGAGCCGTCTGCGACCGTTTTCTCAGGTAAGTGAGTTCTTTCTTTAGGTAGGATCAAGGTATGTATAATTAATTTTTAAATAGAAGTAGACCCCGTGGCCCCGCTGTTAGCTAAGAATCTCTGTCCCCGTATCTGGAAACACGGCTCACTGCTTGTCTAACTGTGTTTTGCTTTTCGTTTTCTAGGGAGCTACTAATAATTTTTTTGTGTTTTCAGACAAAGACGATCGTAGTTTAGTTTCGGTATCCAACCCTAAGAAGCCACCCCATATCCATGCCGTCAGTTAAACCCCAGCCAGCAATTGCCTTCATGCTAATTCTGATGCTTAATTTTCTAGGAACAACTCACCATATTTTTGTCGTTTCAGCTACAGAGTTAGTGGGTTGTGGGTTGTTGGATGTTGTGTCGTCGGTGTGTGTTTTGTGTTGTGTTGTACTGTCTTGTCCTCTACGTTTCGTATTGTCTGCCAGTCGGTTTGGGAGAAGCCCTGTAGCTCTCTCTTTTTCCTGGCCACACAAAGAACACATTTTGCGGATACTCCTTTTAGGAGTTCATGGGTTCGAATCCCATGAATGTGTCAATTTCGCGCTGATATCTAATGTGGTCCGTCTCAAATACAAAAGCACAACATCCAACGGACAATCTGCATCCTTTCATCACACCAACTACAAGTGTTGTCCTCATACAACAGAATGGAACTTCCAACGGAGCAAAGAGTAACCAATACCCAAGATGAAGTTCTTGTACCTTCTCAAACAGGACAGAATGCGGCACTTGTTAATGAAGTATTCTCGATGTTTAAGGGATCCTCTCAGTTAGACGTCCGATCAGAGGATATTCAAAGTGGTAAGCTCATTTAAACTGTGATTACTCTGCGAATACTTCACCCATTTAATAAATATGAGACCACTAAACTCATTGCTGTCCGGTCGTAAACGGCGCACACAGATAATTTCGGTTTTATCTGGAAGTGTTTATCAATTCAACTAGAAATTGTATTATCTTAAAGAAAAAACATTTACCTATTTGTATAACTTAGTTCATTTCAAAAGCTTTCCTATAAGCCAAGATATTGCAGAACTTGTACTTTTAAATTGAATGTTAGAGAAGCAAAAATACGCAAAGCCTTCCAAAAATCTCGCCTAAAAACCTCCAAATATTTGTAGCTTACATTGGGATCAATATTTCATATATTTTACTCGAAATACAGTTGCTTTGGCGATTTGTAGTGATATTTCCAACAAATGTGTTTACAAACGGAAACCCGAAAATGTGCATATAATATCACCATATTAGCGAAAATTTGACAATTATGACCTCTAGGGACAATTTACCCAGAAATCGATTTCTGGCTTATTACCCCCACGGGTAGGCAACATTACGTTTTGACACCTCTAACCTCACGCGACAACCACTTGTGCATGCGGCTGAGCAACGCCTCGCTATACACAATAACAAATAAAAAAATCTATATTTTCGAGTTTTTCTGCCCATCCTGACTTAAATCCTATCAGAAAAGATAACTAATGCCTTTACAGTTTATATGTAACGGTTAAAAGACGACAGGATAAAAAAAACGAAGAAAATAACGAAATTCCAAAGGCGAGTTATATTTCCATTTGTAATCCTGTGTAATTTGATATGATTTTAGAGCTGCACTGCAGTGTCAGGTTAACAGCAATATTGATTAATTTCTTGATTAGAAATTTCGAGCTATATTTGGTGGTATTTTTGCTTTTTAAATTAAACGGATTAATTTCAACATTAAA